GTTCTGCACTCCACCAACCTTCACTCACTAGCGTGGTGAAAGTGTAGACAATATCCCCCACGGGTTCCCGTGTGAAAGTGCTCGTAACGGGCTCTGGGATATGCTGCGTTAATGTTTAAAAAAAAAATTGCAATCGCACACAAGAATCATTCTGTGCAGAGCAGAGACGTTGGGAGTCTTTCGTTTCAAACCCAGCCACACGGTTGTGAAACTTTATTACAACGTAACATATACAGAGCGCGGAAGCTGTGTGTGTGTGTGTACACTGCAACTCTGTTGAACTTCTTTCGCACCGCACGTAGCCAATCCTGCTCATCGAAGGTTACGGTAACAGTTTCACCAACATGCCGGGCAATTGCTGTTGTCAATCGTTTTTTTTTCATGACAAGCTGGAGGGTAAAAAAAAAACTACTTCCACGCGATTCACACCGTGCAAAGGCGCGGGCCGTCTGCGATGCACTCATTCACAGCACAACCGAAAATTCCCAGTTCTGTCGGTACACTAATCACAAACGACGCGTGACTTCGTATTGCCGTCCATTGGTTTTGAATCATTATTATTTTGCTATATACAGGGTGATTTTTTTCTTTCGTTTATAGATGTCATGATGATTTCTTTGAATGATTCTCTGGCGTTCATCTCAACGGACCATTGAATGTTGTAAAAACGATGTTGGACTACGTGAACAAGATAAGTGTGTTCAAAGATTCAATAAGTGCGTCGAGGTTGGTGGAGGTTAGGAGACATGATGAGGTGGGTAATACGCGGATGTGGGAGATACGTGGAGGTGGAAAATACGTGGAGGTGGAAGATACGTGGAGGTGTGAGGAACGTGGAGGTCTGAGACAGACACGTGGTGGGAGACATGTAGAGGTGAGATAGGTGGAGGTGGGAGACACGTTGAGCTGGGAGACACGTTGAGGTGGGAGACACGTTGAGGTGGCAGACACGTGGAGGTGGGAGGGATCGTAGAGGATTTGATATCACATTATTTTAACGGGGAGTATCCGATAGATGGATCACCCTGTATATTTTCTAACAATTCAATTGGTCTATATATTCTCTCTATATATATCATTATGGGCTAATACACGTGCACACACATGCAAAACTCAAATAAAGATCGTTACGAGATTCGTAGCGGCCAACCGCCACGGGGATGGCAATATCGGTCAGCCGTACGAACAGAAACCTTCGTAAGGTTTGTAAACGCACACACCATAGCGGCCTGGAGAATCATGAACACGTCGGAACATACGTGCGCACACACAAAAAACACCCCTACAAATGCACAGGATGTGGGGAGTCGTTAAAACGACGAGTGCGCAAAATCAGTGAACAGTCTGCATGGTTTGTGTATATGGGCATTTCCATTTGTTTACGTTTTGCACAAAAGAAGCTTAAGGCCTGTTTGCGTTCAACAGTATTCACGGAAGAGGAGGGGGTGGGGGTGGTGGGGGAAAACAAAGGCGCAGCCCTGCAACTTCTTACTCCCTCCACGAGAGGGAGCCCCCCCTGTTCAGGGTAACGTATTGGTGGCGGCCTCTTTCACGCTCGCCAGGCAGAGACGTCTTTTGACAGTTTCGTGGAAAACAATGTTAATTACAATTATTCTCCCCCCCCCCCCCACGCGTTTGGGGTGGAGGGGTGAATGAGTGGAAGATATCACTCGCCACTGATGTCAGCTGTGGCTCGGAATCAAACACGGGATTCATACTTAAGTGAAAAAAAAAACACAAAGCAAAGCACCTTGGTAAAAAAAATTTGACCACAAACAGTACACAAAACTACTCAGCAAAAACAACGAAGCCCAACAGAAGGGCGGGAAGTGGGGGGGGGGCATTAGGCCTTGTACCAGGGGGGTACCGAAGTGGGCCCTGTACCACCGCAGGTCCCTGTGGCCCACCCAGATTCACCCTCCTGAGCGGACTATCACCGACATGGTGGCCCAGACAACAGCCCTGCTGCTGCTGCCACCCCCGCCGCCGCCACCCTCGACCCACGATCTGAGAGGAGCTGGAGTCGGGCCTTGGGGGGGCATGAATTACAAAGGCAGCAAAATTAACTCTGACCACCCCCTCCAACCCGGTAACCGACTGGGAGCACGGTGAGAAACGACGTACTCCCGATGCGACCATCAGGGAGGTTTAAAGCACCCTGTGCCCACCAACGTGGTGGTGTTGGCTTTTTAGCTCTGCGAACACCCAACACTGACAAGCGACTAAAAAGTCAGCCGGGGCCTTGGCGAATGCTGGTGGTGGGGTGAGGGGCAGGGCTGGTACCAATGGTTCATTGGCTATTTGGTTATGGCTATGGTCAGTGGGATGGCCAGTGGTGGTAACTGGTCGACTCGTTTGTTAGTGAGACCAATGGTTGGCGAGTATGCTCTGCCACAAACCAACATTCCTTCCATTTGGCCTTTCCATTTTTATGGGGGGCATTTTCCTTTTTGCCGATATTTCAGAGTTGGCGTGTGCATTCATAATTATAACTTCACTGCACAGACCCAGAGAAGCAGCACTGATGCACATCATATTTCGTGGTGGTGGCTTGGCCAAGCGGTAGCGCGTTCGCACGCTCGTTGCGGAGAGATTCAAAGGTTAAAATCCAGCGGCCGCCTTGATCATCGCTGCGGTGGTGATAATCAGTGGACGCTAAAAGTTCCTCTGAAATCATTCGCAAGGCCATCGTGTGCCGGCATCAGGGTCCAAATTTGCCAAATTCAAATATTGCGGGCAAATTACTCATTTGAGTTCTAGTTTTCTATGAAATTTTACGCGGATAATTCCAATTGGGATTATACATAGCAATCATCGCCCCCTATTGGCAGACTAATTGCCCCAGGTCACTCATGCAAATGAGACTCTCTTCGACTCTTGAGTTCCTCACCTGTTTAAACAAAATAAACTTTGAACTTACGAAGTCAGAGGTTGCGTTATTAACTCACGATACAGAGCGAGGGCTCAGGCCTGCGATCAGAAAGCCCACGGAATAAGTTTGCACCATTGCGTTTCAGCGCGTTCAGTGTCTCGAGGGAGGGCGTTGTTTAACTTCTAATATATTCCATTCCTCCGTGAAGCCTAACCCAACATCGGCAACAAAGAGCAGCCAAAAATCACACGCTGGGCTTTACCCCCTTCCTACTCCACAAACCGCCACCAGAGTAAGCAAGCTTTCATTATACCGTACGACATTAAAATTCGAATTAGACAGACCTCATTCGAGCCAATGGACCGGTTAACGTTTGTGGGGTCTAGCTCGGCCTCGTATCACCTCGACTTCGACCCAAAATCCCAGGCCAAAAAAATAAACACCAACATTTTTCGTCACGAAACGACCGAGTCAACACTCTCAACCAGCGACGGCGGTGAGAGGCGTGTGGTGCTCCAAGACGCAGGACAGGGAAGGGGATTCGGTGGGAGGCCGACGGCGACCGCCGATTGAGAGGTCTCTCGCCTCCTTCCTCCCTGCTCCCGGGCGCGAGAGCGACACCTCACAAAGGGCGGTGCCATTTCGCCGCTGCGTGGGGGAAGTTTCGGCGCCTCGGATTGTCGGCAAGTCTTGCATATTTCACGACGGCCCGCGGGTGCCGCCGTGCCGAGTTCGGGTTATTGACGCCGGGGTTCCCTTTCTCGAGGGCTGTCGGCTACGAGGGGGTCGAGACCGATAAGTAAACCATTTTCTCCAATAAAAAAAAACAATCATCAAAACGATTGCTGTGGGCCTCTCGCCGTCGGGAAGTACGGTACGATAACGTAACGTAACAACTTCCGCGATAAACAGCAAAGCATTGAAATCACTATCCGATCAAATTCTCCAGGTATTCGGCGATTTCGTTAATGACAGCAGACGCGACGAGAAACAGAAAACGGAACTCTGCCAATCTGCTTTCATCGCAGCTCATCAATGCGTTTAGTATTTGGTACACACTGTATATCTTTTACCGGATAATCTTCTCTCGATAAAAATAAAAAAAAAGTCCACCGGAATCCACACATCCGGCGGACGCTGGTGTGGAACAAGTCGAGGTCACCTCGTCAACGTTAGCGGCCTATACGCCTGGGGAGGGCTACGTTTGAGAAGCTGGCGGGTTTATAAATGTGCTATTATTTATTTTTTATTTAAAAAAACTCTTCTCTTCTCTCAGCCTCGTTTGTTCTTGTTAACTAAGCCGTCGACGGTGTCTTGAGACGTTCGATAGCGTCGGATGGGGGGGGGGGCTTTCGCGTCGTGTGATATCGACATTATGACCGTGCCGTACTCACAAGTGCTTTCAAATTTACTGTGCGATGTTTACGGTTCTGCGTCGAACCCCCATTTAAGCGCCAAGAAATACAAGCAGTCATCCTGTCGTATGCCGATAATTCACGGCGCGACAGCAAAAGCAAATGCCGCAAGGTCAACGGCAACATAACAAGCGAGCTGCTGCGGCTGAACAAATGGAAGGTTGAAATGCGTTTGCCAATTAGTACCGTAAACCCTCATTTACATTTTCTGGTAAGTGCTACGAAATCAAAAAGAGGCAAAATGTCGATATCAGACGAAGTTAAATCCCTTCCGTTGAAGGTCGAGAGCAGGAATTCACAAATAATTAACGACGCCCGCCCATCCTCCCGCAGTCATGGAATCGTCCCGGGGAGAGGTGAAGTCACGGGGGAGAGATGAAGTCACGTGGATCCGCTCCCACACCCACATAGCCTACTCATCACACACATCACCTGCTCACCACTCAACACACCACACACACACACACTGCCCACTCAACACACACACAGTACCCGCTCACAACACATCGCCCGTTCACCACACACACCGCTCGCTCACCATGCACACACACGCTCACCACACACACCGCTCACTCACCATGCACACACACGCTCACCACGCACACCGCTCACTCACCATGCGCACACACCGCTCACCACACACACCGCTCACTCACCATGCGCACACACCGCTCACCACACACACCGCTCACTCACCATGTGCACACACCGCTCACCACACACACCGCTCACCATGCGCACACACCGCTCACCACACACACCGCTCACTCACCATGCGCACACACCGCTCACCACACCACCACCCGGCTGCAGCGGTCACGCTGGCCTGCCAGCGCCAGCGTCAACCCTGGATGAAAGCCGTCCTCCGACTCCTGCACGGGACACACGACCAGAGGAACGATGAGATGGACAGAACCTGCAGCATGGATCTCCCCCACGCCACCTTCACCATGGCGCATGTGAAATATTACGTCCGCCTGTCTGTCGTCGCAAGTAAAAAAAACTACAAAACCCTTAAGCCAACGACTGCGAATACTGTTTTACAGTGCGGTGTAGCACAACACTATGGGCGAAGGCGTTGATCATTCCTGCTGGTGCAACAACAATGACGGTACACTACGCGCCGTTTGCATTACAGTGGACGTTCAAGGGCAGGCCGTTGGGGGGGGGGGGAGGTCAAACTTTGCCAAATTCGAAAATTATCTGCGAATCGTCTCAATTGAGATTATATACAAGGCAGACTTAATGCCCCCCCCCCCCCCGTAACTCTTGTAATGACGCATCCTGACGTCTTGTTGTCTCACCTGGTTAACCAAAATAAACTTGAATGTATAGTATTATGATAATAACGATAACACCTCTTTGTCAATCCACTTCTGGAAGGTCTCCCCCCCCCCCCCACCGTGTCATTCGTGGGAGGCTACTTGATCACCATACTTGACCACGCATCAGTGCAGGTTGGTGAAGGAGGTGGGGGGGGGAACCCAGGACTGGTTCAGATACCACTCGCCACCGGCGACGTGAGCCGAGGCTGGGAATCGAGTTCAGTTCGACGGGTTCGCAGAAAAGTGTGCACCAACCTCTGTGCCACCACTCCCCCGCCAGTTGCATCACCGCACAAAACTAAATCGAAGTTAATCAGTGCGAGTCTGTGAACGGGCCGGGGGGGGGAATTGCCACTCATCACCTCACTCCTCGACGCCGGCCCACGCCTCCTCCGCCAGCTCGTAGTAGCGGTTCGCGAGCCGCCCCTTCATCGCCTCCATGGCCGCCTCGGCCGCGCTGGTGAACAGATCCCCTGCACGCGCACACCACGGCAGACACAGACAAAGAACCCACCCCCCCCCCCCGTATAGCCTTAACAGACTGTTGGGGCAAGTGGTTTTAGCAAGTAACACCTATAAAGGCCAGAACGGCACACGAGACGGTGGGTGGCCAGCACCACACTTTTATCTCCTTATGCAGCGGCAGGTGCTCATTTGAGGCCGAGTCAACCAAGGGAAGGCCCGGGATCGGTTCAGATAATCGTCAGTGGTATTGGCCGCGAGCGGGAATCGAACTCGGGCCGCCGGCTTCGCAGCGCGCCCCCCCCCCCCGCGCGTCCCATTGGTCACGGGCAGCAGCCGGCAGCGCGAGAGCCTCTCACCCGACTTCTGGGGGTCGCAGGCGACGCCGTGCCCGCCCGCCATGTAGATCTCGGCCTGGCGCGCCAGCAGCACGTAGCTGGGGTCGTCGCTCGTGCCGTCGTACTCGCCGCCCTCGTCGTACTCCGTCATGTTGAGCGCCGCCTCGTACCAGCGCAGCGCCTCGTGCCAGTCCTGCTTCCTGCGTGCGCACGGACGGCACGGATGACGGGACGGCCACCTCGCTCGGCCACCGCGCCCGCGTTCACCCCGCGGGCGCGTATCGCATTTGTTGCCGAGGTCGAGCCAAGCAGCTTTGCCCCGGTTCATACCGCAGCAGATTACGTTCACTGACAAAAATGGTCATAATAGTAATAATACAAAAGTAAGAAATTAAAGTCGCTTTGCCGCGTCGCCGACGCCGGGGCGGCTACCTACCTGCCGCGGCCCAGGTTGGTGCCGGTGTCGTAGGCGCGCGCCACGAACAGCATGGAGTGGCGGTCGCCGGCCTCGGCCGCCTCCAACATGAAGGCGAAGCCGAGCGTGGTGTTCTCCTCAGACTCCTGCATGCGGAAAACGCGGAAGGCGCATGCACGCCGTTCGCCGTTCGCCGGACTTGGCGAGGCAACCCGGGCACGTGCGTGTACGCATGCACGTGCGTACGGTGAACTTCTCTCGCACCGTACGTAGCCAACCGTGAAGCAGTGGAGGTGCCGGCGGATGGGTGAGGGGACCAGCGAGCGGGTGGAAGGCCGAGTCGGTGTGGTTGGTAGATGGACGGGTGGGTTTCAAGCCACGTGGACAAGTGAACAGGCGAATGAGGTGGCGGGCTGACAGGTGATTGGGACAGGTGAGGGAGCCGATTAGCTGGACAGGTGAGCATGCTACCAGACAAGACAGGTGGTCTGGCAGTTAGGTGTTGAGACTGATGAGCAGGCAAGCGAGTGGGCAGGAGAGAAGGCACATGAGCAGGCAGGTGAGCGGGATGGTGAGTGGCGAGCAAACGAGCGGGTGAGCGTGCGGACCGGCCGGCCGGCCGGCCGACCGACCTCCATGGTGAACTCGACGAGCACGTCGTGCGGCAGCTGCAGGTGGATGCGAGCGAGAGCCAGGATGGCCTCCATCTCGCCGCACAGCGCCGCGTGGCGCAGGTGGAAGAGCGCCGCCTCGCGGTCCCACGGCGCCTCCTTCTCGCCAAAGCGCCCGGCCTCGTGGCACTTGGCCATCTCCAGGTGCACCTGGGCGTCGCCACGGGGGGGCGTCGTCAAAACGAGCACCACCAGCGCCGCCACCACCACCACCAGCAACAGCAGCACTCGCTAAGAGTCAGCTCACACTGTTACAACCTCCAGCGCCACTATCGTAGCTAACACTAGCAACAAACAAACAACAACAACAACCGCCGTTCGCCACTAAGTGGCGGTGACGTAACCACGGCGCGTGTGCGACCACCACAAGCACCATCACAAGCACCACCACCAATGTAACTATCACCAGCGGCACTACAGCCAGCATCAACATTACAACCACCAGCATCAGCGCCGCTATCATAGCCAACACAGGTGCTGCCACCGCCACAAGCACCGCCACCATAATGTAACTACCACCAGCACGATTGGAGTCAGCACCACTGCTACCACCATCACCATTACCATCGCCAGCACCACCACTACCACCGGCGTAACCACCTCCAAAACCACCACCGCCACGGCCGCCAGCAGCTTAACCACCACCACCAACACCAGCGCTACCAATACCAGCACCAAAACTAGTGTCACCACCAGCGCCAACAGTTAAAGCCACCGTTGTTATTATCATTATCACTGCACGACAATTTGTCTAACTGGTGGCTACCCGGTAGCGGCGCTCCCGGACGACGCACCTTGCCGAGGACGGACTTGCCGATCTTGCCCTGCATCTCCAGGTTCTGCAGGCGGTTCACCTCCATGGAGACGCTGGACGGGCGGTGGCAGTGGGCGCGCGACGCGTGGAAGTTGTCCCACTTGATGCTGCAGCGGAAGTCCTGCAGGGCACGGGCAACGCAACAGCACGCGGTTTTACGACGACGCTTCAAACGAACGTCGATCACCCAAAAGGGGGTCCCCCTCCCCCTTCGCACCACCCCCCCCCCTCTTGCCCATGAACGTCTGGCAGTTCTCCAGCATCGGTTGAAGCAAGCCCGACTCTGCTCATGGGACATTGGATGTCGAAACCGGTCCAGAGTTTTGCTTGCGTCGAACCAATGCTGCTAAAACAAAATGGAAAATTACTCCCAGAAGGCCGCGTAGTCGATGCGACGTGTAATTCTTTACGTGGAGGGACGTGTATATATATATGGGAAGGAGGCGAACCACCGTCTGCTCTTATATTTGATGAGAGAATGCCACAAAACGATCGCAATTCTACGTGTCCCTCCACTCCCACATCTGTTAAGTTAGTATTGGTTAAGGCTTTGACACGATGGTAGGCCCGCGCACTGTAAACACGTTGAGCAACGCGGCGCAACAAGCCTTCAACTCTTCTCGAGAAATGGTCACCTTCGTACGATCGGCGTTCTCTAAAGGCCATTGTACCTCTGCATGTATTTTAAACATTCGCCCTTTTTGTGCCCGCACTCGTTTTTCACGAACCCGGCCGTCGACGCAGCAACAATGGAAACGTCGCAAAAAAACATGCCGAGCAGGGTGCTCCTGAAAACGAGTCGCGAGGATCGAGCAGTCAACGGTTCAGGCTCAAAAACTCGCACGACATGCACAGATTGCAAGCAACACGCAACACGCACGGCGGCAACTGCGCAACCAACTAGGGCTTGCCGAAGAACACTCAGAACGCGAAACCCACTCCAAGTCTCCGAGCAGCTGAAACAACGTTTGTTAACTCCCGAGGCGTAACAATCACACGGGGGGAACCGTGCAGTAATAACCGTACCGCATGGGATGCATCGTCAGCTCCTCGATGATTTGGCAAAAACAGTGCACACACGATGTTGTCGTTCCACTGAACAAGACGGCGTCGGTGAAGCGTTTCCTTCGTCTAAAAAACGGGTCGAGGGAACACCCTCGAGCGAGATGCAGTCGTGCGTTGCGGTCAGGCACAGGCGCCGGAAGGCGACACGCAGCGATCGCCTGCCTCCCCGGCGCAAGGCCGATTCAAGGATCCGTCAACACCCGGGGGTGGGGTGCAACTCCTCTTCCTAAAACCCCCCCAACTCCCGCCACCCACCCTAGGAGAGCAAGGATCAGTCGCGGACGGGGAGGGCCTGTGTGGTCCATCGCGCACGACCGAACGTCGACATTGGAATCGATCAAACGTGCCAACCCGCAGCAACGCGATTTGGGTTACGGTCGACATTCATATTAACATTTAATAATTGCTCAAGACTGATAAAAAAAGCGCAGTTTCACAGATAAAGTCTCCTGGTGGAGGCCGGTGCTACGCTGTGATTTTACAAATTTGGCAAACTTGGAGTGTGACGCTGGCGCACCTACCCTCTTCCTTTTGTCGAATAACGATGCAAGATTTTCAACGTCCACTATGAAACAGATGGCGCATGTTAGACGGTATTAATAACCAGGGCAGCCAGTGGGCTCGAACCACAAAGCCCTACGCCAGACGCGCCACCCTCTCCGACACGTCACTGTCCTAAAGGTCGTGTGCGATTGTGGGGGTTAGAGTTCGAATGGGTGCGTACCGCTCCGGGCCGGGAGTGGTTGTGGGGAGTTGGGAGTGCGCCCCAAGGTGGAGGAGTTGGGGGGGGGGGGGGGGGGGGCGGTGGGGGGTGGGACCGGAGGAGGCGGGGGCGGGGGGGGCATGCACGAGCAATGGATGACGCGCGCGACACTGCCACCTGCGTGGGGAGGGGCACGCGGTGGCGAGGGGCTGGCAAGGGGCTGTTATCCTCCTGCTCACACAGATACGCGCGCGTGGGTGCAGGGCATCGCGTGAATGACACTCGGCGTGTCGCTCACCGCGGAGCGGCGACCTCTTTAGGGAGGCAGCAACGGCACGCGGCGGAGTCGCAAGCGGGGGGCAGCGCGACAACGTGCGCGCGCGCGCGCGGGGGGGGCGAGAATTCGCGGCCCCGCGTTACGGACCCGGAAGTCTCGAATCGATTCTCTGAATCCGTTATCTTTCGTGTAATCTCAACCGGCTCGTTTGTCCTGCATCGTCTGCCCCCCGCTTGTTACGGTCTCGATCCGTACTTGCGCGTAATGCTGCGAAGCACTCAGTAGGACAATCCTGAAAGAGTCTGGAGACGTGGGTGAGGCTATATCCTGTGTAAACAAGCGCACTACTAATCCATATTGTGTTGTCGGGTTTCGCCAACGCGTCATTCGCCCTCCCCCATCAGAACTTTGGCATAAAACTGCCACCACGTGGCCTAACCCCACGAAACAAATAGGGATTACTGCATCGATTGCAACGTTAAGTGTAATATCAATGTCAATAATAGTTTACTCAGAGATGCACAACGCGATGCATTTTTTTAAACTTTGAATGTAGAAGATGGGATGTGTAAAAAAATATAGACACTTTTATAAATAATGTGGAGGGACATACACATGTGTATGTGTATTGAAAGGAGGTGTATCATCGTCTGCTTATACATTTTATGAACGATGAGTAAGGCACAACACGATTGTCCGCAAACAAAACACAGGGCAGTTGTAAACGTCCGTCCACCCCCACCACAACCTGTAAACTTGGTCTGGCTACTCATAAAACGCCAAAATCAACGTCGAAGATTTGTGGGCGCGAGCCGCGGCGAGCGGGACTCACCCGCCGAACAGAATCCTCATCCGACTCGCTCTGTCTCTTCATCCTGTTCACCGGTTTCTGCGCAAAGACGGGGGGACAGCAGAGCTTCAGAGTTCAAACAATAAGTGAAGCCAGTCCCAGCTACGGAGCATCTCCACGATGCTGCTAGTTTCGAGGACGCCTCTTCGAAAAATGACTCATTTATGAAACGGGAAAAAAAAAATCTCACACGGGACAACGGGATGGAGCCGCGTGTTGCTCGGCAGTACAACCGCGAAAACACATCGCAGAGCAATCAAAATCCCACGCTCTGCGCATCGACGCGTTTTTGTCGCCCCCCGTGACAGCGCCGACGTTATTTTTCGTCCTGCAAGGCAACCGTGCCCGCAGCCTTCCCCTGGCCAGCCCCACACCCACCACCACCGCCCAACCAGGGTTGAGAACCGCCGGCGCAAGGAGTTGATGGTGCAGCGCGTGGGTGCAGATGCGCGGAGGGACACACACCTGGTCGTGCGTGTCTCCTTCCGACTCGCTCTTCCTCTCGCTGGGGCAGCCACTGTCGCCGTTGTTCTCTGACACCTGCACACACGACGTTGGGGCTCGTGAAAACAAGACAAAGACCCCCCCCTCCCCCCCACATAGCCTCTAACAGACTGTTAGGGCAAGTGCTGTTAGTGAGCACCTACGAATGCCGGCACAGCGCACCAGGGGATAAGGTGGCCAACACCACGCCCGGCCGCCTTTAGCTCCCGAGTGGCGATGTTTGCACACTGCACTCATTTGAGGCCCGGGACCGGCTACGATAATCGTCACCGGTGTGGGCCGTGAGCGGAAATCGAACTCGGGACGGCGGATTCGTAGCGCGAAGCGCTGCTCACGCAGATTTATCGCTTTGCACACCCAGGTGTGGTGTCCCTGGCCGGGCTGCGTGTGCCGCCGCACCTTTCTCTCGCGGTCTCCATCTTGATCGGGGCTGTTGTCGATTTCGTCAAACACCGAGGTCCACCCTGCGCGAAACGCAAAACCAAACTCAAAAACGAAAGCGTACGGCGGGGGGCCGGCAGGGCGAGTGGGGGGCCGGAGCAGAGGGCGGAGGACACGGACGCACGCCGGCCGAATTAACGCGGCACCGATTGGCAGGACTCGGTCAACTATTCATCTGGATCCGTGCTGCCCAATCATCACGGTGATGGCGTTTGAACAGGACTCACGGTCAAACTCAAAAAGTCGTGCTCGTTTCCACGCTCACAGACCTGAGCCAGACGTGGAAATTCCATATTCCTATGGTGGGGGTGAGTGACCACTATTATACAGCGTTTAGCGTTGTTCAACGTTATTCAATAACACCGATCATCGACACCGGTCAACGACCTCTACCCGGCGTCAGTCCATTACAGCCGAGTAACTCAGATTAACGCCAAGCGAGACTATCCCGGTCTCTTGAGTTCCACTCCCCTCCTTTCGCTGCAGGCGGCGTTAACTTTTTAAATCACGTCTTAAAAATTCACCTATATTTGTACTGCGACTTAACATTAAAAACCTATTTTTGTTGTCAGATTGGATTCCTCCGAAACAATAATTATTATTCGCTTTGATCATAGTTCTTCATTTAATTGGAATTTCGAAAGTAGTCACTGACATTACTTTTATCATCTTTCTATTTCGCTTAAATTGTATCGATGCTTGCGAGTGTAAAATTATTTTTACGTACAGTGCTTTGAGATACTTCAATATGAAAGGAGCTACATAAAAGAGATTACCATTATTATTATGACCGGCACCATCCAGCACGGTCAAGTGACACTATAAAGAACAGTTTTTATTTTTATTTTAAGCAGTTAAGGCCCACTGAGCCATGTAGCCCTTTATCTGAAGCGACCTGGCTATCACAAATGATAGCTCAACGAAGTGGCTTATCGTCGTGTGGAAATTTACAGCAGCCAAATACTCTCAACGCGTGTTGTTGATTCTAAATGTGGAGGGAAAAACCGGAGAACCCGGAGAAAACTCCACATGACCATGGGGAGAGAGAGAGACACGCAAACTCCAAATATACAGCAGCAGGCGTCAGGGTCGGGATCAAACCCATGACCTCCTGCGTATCAGACGAGGGAGTTAACATCTCCTAGCCACCGTGATGATGATGAGAGAGAGAGAGACACCGCAAACTCCAAATATACAGCAGGCGTCAGGGTCGGGATCAAACCCATGACCTCCTGTGTATCAGACGAGGGAGTTAACATCTCCTAGCCACCGTTATGATGATGAGAGAGAGAGACACCGCAAACTCCAAATATACAGCAGGCGTCAGGGTCGGGAACAAACCCACGACCTCCTGCGTACCAGGCAAGGGAGTTAACATATTGCCATTTTTACATCAGCTAAATACTCTTAAAACGCACGTTCATTATGAATGCAGGTGGGGTGGGGGATTCGTGGCGGTGGCTGCCTCACCCATGGGCGAGCGGCCTAGCAGGTGCTCGGGGGGGCTGAACGACATGTGCATGCCGTGCAGCGAGGAGAGCGAGGAGCGCGGCGACTCCTCGGGCGTCACGGACGACTCGGAGAGGCGGGGCAGGCGCGGGGGTCGCCCGTCCGACAGCGAGCGCACGCGGGGGCTCCCGCACACCTCCTCGCAGCCGCGCAGCACCGTCTTCGACGATTGCTGGGATCGCGCGCACGCGGGCACAGACATAGACGCGCACGTTAACGTGTGCGCGCGTTAACGTGTGCGCGCGAGATGTGGTGGGTTATGGGGAGCGGTGGTGTAGTGATTTCCCGCTCGCGGCAAACACCGGTGACGACTATTTGAACCGGTCCCAGGCCTCCCCTGGGTCGACTCTGCCTCAAATGAGTATACCCGGTGAGGCGTGTAAACATCGCCACTGTGGAGACAATAGCGGCCGGCTTGGTGCTTGGCCACCCACCCACCCCACCCCACTTTGAGTGCCGTTCCAGCCTTCATAGGTGCTCACTAACGGCATTTGCCCCAACGGCCTGCTAAAGGCTATACCGTTGCCTTTGATGCGGTGGGTCGGGAGCCGGCAGCAGTATGCTGACACTGTCGCCGAAAGGACGACGATTGTGGCCGCGCGCCGATGATATCGATACGACGTCGATGTCGGCAGGACGGCGTCGGCGCGATCGACACGATGACGCCGAAAGAGGACGATGGGCGGGGGCAGCGACACCGCGGCGGTAGCGGCAATGCGATGACGGCGGCGGCGGGTGGCACAAGGACCGCGACGCGGCGACGCTCACCAGCAGCTTGAGCGACTGCTCCAGCGCGCTGCGCTCGTCGGACGAGAGGTCGAAGGGGGTGAGCCCCATGCTCTTGCAGATGCGGTTGCACACGTGCGAGTGGAAGAAGAGGGCCATCCCACGCACGCCTGGACGGGCACGCGGAGGGGGACGCGGGGGTCCAGGGTTAGGGGTGCGCGGCATCTCCGATCAGCACGGTTGGCTACGTGCGGTGCGACAGCGGTTCAACATACACACATACAGGCTATGCGTAGATGCGCTCGCATAGTCATCGACACCACCTCCGTCAAAGTTTCATTCCGCAGACTGATTATAACTTGTTGGCCACTCACGAATGTCAACATTTGGGAAATTCGTCACGCAAGCGACCTGCCCTGCGGGCGCTGGTGTGGCTCGCGAGAGGCTGATCAGAATCAGAATATTTTATTTATCTTGGAGGAAACCGATGAGCTATGAAGCTCTTTCTTACAGTCGTCCAGTGAATGATGATGATGATGAACTTTACAGCTTGACACCACTGACCAGCGTGGTGAGGTCCGGTCGAACAACCCTCACGACACGCACAGGCGTCGCGAGGCACTCTCATCCAGCCGCGGATTGAGCAGGGGGGGCTGGTCACGCAAGTATTTGTCGTGCGAGACTGTGGCGGGGCGCGGAGGCGAGAGGTGGAAGGTGGGGGCTCACCCAGGTTGCCGTCGCCGTAATCGGTGCCCTGGTAGGTGTGGATCTGGGGGTCGGTGTAAAGGTCGCCCACGCCCTGCACATCCACCACGATCAGCTGATGACCCGAGCGCTCGAACGAGAAGTGGCTGAAGGCCTGGGTGGAGCGCGCACGGCAAAAGCGCGCGCACGCGCGGGGACAGCGTCAACACCACGTGACGCCACGGCCATCCAAGTCTGCAAATGCTGGGGGGGTTATTCTCTGTCTTTGTGCGTGCGGTTCAGTGGGCACTCGCGCGCGCGTGAGAGCGCGTGGGTGGGGCCAACGTGGGCACGTGCGTGCGGAGGCTGCGGGCGTCACCTGCGGCGTGCAGCGCATGTTCTCGTCGCGCACGAAGCCCGAGTTGGAGTTGTACTTGAGGTACTTGCCCTCGATGTAGTGCTCCAGGTGGAACAGCGGCTTGTCCGCTCGGTTCTTCAGCTCCAGGATGCACACCTGCATGATGTCCACCTGAGGGGTGGCGGGGGGGGGCATAGGCAGGAGGTAGGCCAGACTAAGGTGAGCGAGCACCTCACCGTGTGTTTCTTAAGAGACGAGTTTTCTTTGTGTGTGTGTGTGCGCGAGAGACCGTGCTGCATAATTTGTCGTCGAAAGTCTCCCCACATTATGACAACTTCCGGTCGGCGCTCATCTCCAACGTCGGCGCTGGGCTGGTGGTGGAAATTCCATTATTATTAATCATCAGGCGTGGCGGCGCACACCTGCAAGAGAGTGCTTAAGAAACAAAGGTTTACGCGATGAACCTCACTCTCGTACGCAGAGCGAGTGGGACGGGCTGCCCTCTGCCGTGTGTCGGCCACAGGTCACTTGAAAAAGGGATCTCAGGAGCTACAGTGAGGGAAAAAAGTATTTGATCCCCTGCTGATTTTGTACGTTTGCCCACTGACGAAGAAATGATCAGTCTAGAATTTTAATGGTAGGTTGATTTGAACAGTGAGAGACAGAATAACAACAAAAGAATCCAGAAAAACGCATGTCAAAAATGTTATGAATTGATTTGCATTTTAATGAGGGAAATAAGTATTTGACCCCTCTGCAAAACATGACTTAGTACTTGGTGGCAAAACCCTTGTTGGCAATCACAGAGGTCAAACGTTTCTTGGAGTTGGCCACCAGGTTTGCACACATCTCAGGAGAGATTTTGTCACACTCCTCTTTGCAGATCTTCTCCAAGTCATTAAGGTCTCGAGGCTGATGTTTGGCAACTCGAACCTTCAGCTCCCTCCACAGATTTTCTATGGGATTAAGGTCTGGAGACTGGCTAGGCCACTCCAGGACCTTAATGTGCTTCTTCTTGAGCCACTCCTTTGTTGCCTTGGTCGTGTGTTTTGGGTCATTGTCATGCTGGAAAACCCATCCACGACCCATTTTCAATGCCCTGGCTGTGGGAAGGAGGTTCTCACCCAAGATTTGACGGTACATGGCCCTGTCCATCGTCCCTTTGATGCGGTGAAGTTGTCCTGTCCCCTTAGCAGAAAAACACACCCAAAGCATGTTTCCACCTCCATATTTGACGGCGGGGATGGTGTTCTTGGGGTCATAGGCAGCATTCCTCCTCCTCCAAACACGGCGAGTTGAGTTGATGCCAAAGAGCTCCATTTTGGTCTCATCTGACCACAACACTTTCACCCAGTTGTCCTCTGAATCATTCAGATGTTCATTGGCAAACTTCAGACGGGCATGTATATGTGCTTTCTTGAGCAGGGGGACCTTGCGGGCGCTGCAGGATTTCAGTCCTTCACGGCGTAGTGTTACCAATTGTTTTCTTGGTGACTATGGTCCCAGCTGCCTTGAGATCATTGACAAGATCCTCCCGTGTAGTTCTGGGTTGATTCCTCACCGTTCTGATGATCATTGCAACTCCACGAGGTGAGATCTTGCATGGAGCCCCAGGCCGAGGGAGATTGACAGTTCTTTTGTGTTTCTTCCATTTGCGAATAATCGCACCAACTGTTGTCACCTTCTCACCAAGCTGCTTGCCAATGGTCTTGTAGCCCATTCCAGCCTTGTGTAGGTCTACAATCTTGTCCCTGACATCCTTGGAGAGCTCTTTGGTCTTGGCCATGGTGGAGAGTTTGGAATCTGATTGATTGCTTCTGTGGACAGGTGTCTTTGATACAGGTAACAAGCTGAGATTCGGAGCACTCCCTTTAAGAGTGTGCTCCTAATCTCAGCTTGTTACCTGTATAAAAGACACCTGGGAGCCAGGGGGGTCAAATACTTATTTCCCTAATTAAAATGCAAATAAATTTATAACATTTTTGACATGCGTTTTTCTGGATTTTGTTGTTGTTATTCTGTCTCTCACTGTTCAAATAAACCTACCATTAAAATTATAGACTGATCATTTCTTTGTCAGTGGGCAAACGTACAAAATCAGCAGGGGATCAAATACTTTTTTCCCTCACTGTAGCTCTGTGACATTGGCTTCCGTGGGCCGTTTAGAGTGGACCACAGGTCACTTGAAGAAGGGATCTCAGAGGTAGCTCTGTGATATCCGCTTCCGTTCTCTAAACACGAAGGCTCGCACTGCTCTTTGAGACATCTGAAAGGATCCTGCGTCTTGTGACGATGTGACGGCGACAGCACAACTCGATTAAACAGAAGTTCCGCCGAAATCCTCAAACTCCCAAACCCCCTGCACTGCAAGCAGGTGGCCAGAAGATGGCAGTACAGCAAATAGTTTCGTGAACCTCCACGTGCGTGGGGTTCATCTCTCGGTACTCGCAGCTTCCTCCCACACGAAGCAAAACACTCCCTAAAATGGAATTGGCCGTAGAAAGCAGAAGCTGTGTATGAGCAAGCCCTATGAGAGGGTTTGCTGTGCTCAGGCCAGCTGTGCTCATATCCAAAGTAGTGTGCTTGTATCAGAAGCTGCGCTTTTGCCTCCACCCCCCCCCTCCCCCACTAGTCTAAGTTTTGACAACTGTCTTAACCGAACCAAGTGATTGCCCAACGCACCCGGCTACTGAACGATAACGGCATTCTTATTAAATTAACAACTGAAGCAATTGGCGGGACCCCCGTGGTCCCATCACTGCCCCGGGGTGGGAAAAACCGCGTAGCGAAACGAGTCTTGTTGACCTACCGACAACAAAACTAAGTGTCAATCGATTGGCCTCGTCGAGAGCTACTCGGGGCACTAAGTTTCGTAAAAAGTTGAAAAATTACATAAACACGTTAAATGCACTGCCTGGGGGGCGGGCTCGCCTCGGCAAAGAAGCTGAGGATCGACGGCTGACCGGAGGGCGTCGTCGCCGCGCGCGACTGCGGCGGACGCCCCCCCGGGGCTCGCGTTTGGCCGGTGGGGTGGCGCCCGTCGTGTCGATCGCCGCCTGCTGCTGCTGCTGGCGCTTGTTGTTGGTGCGAGTCTGAGCGGGCGGCGAGTTGCTGTCGGGATCACGAGTGGGCCGACTGAAAAATAATAATTATTGACCCGATTTTTGCGGGACCCCGGGGTCCCGCCAAATGATTCAACTGCCTTTTCCTTCCCGTTTGATTGGTGCGGGTTTCAAAGACGCTGTGCGTTTCTTCAAACCGTGGAGGAAGGGGGGGGGGTGTTGAGTTAACGCGGCAGGAGCTGTCACCGACCAAAATCTTGCGCGTGTGTTGAAACTTCTTTTGCGCCGTACGTAGCCAACCGTGCCAATCCTGACGTTTTCTATGTTGAGCCCCGGCACTTGTTTTGTGTTTTGGAGAAGGCCGTCGTTCGGGAGGGCACGTTGATTGGCAACCAGTCTAAAGGTCGCCTTTCACTTGCCGACTTCGCTTAAACACGACACGGCACAATTCGACCGTCCCAAGGCGAGCAAACCCCCGGAATATCAATCGGGCAGCAGCAAACGGCACTGCCAAAGATTGTAACTGATAAAGAGTTGACAGGTTGTTTTTGGACTGAACAAAGTTGTTGAGGGCTCAGGAAAAAGAGATGATGATGATGGTGGGAGGAGGGAATTCCCAAGTGAAGCAGTGCACGGGGAGATCCAGAAAGAGAAGCGCTTGATGGGAGAGGCACAAAGTTAGGGTAAAGGGTGAGAGCGCGAATTTGCAATTACTTGCTCGAGAGAGCGCCTCTGGGAGGTATTTGGCCTACTCTTCCACGCTGGCCGGAACCTCTTAGAAGAGGTGCGATAACCACACGCAACCCCGAGATCAGCTGATTGAGATGGTCCGTGACTGGGCAGACTTGGTCACATGCGCCTAACCCTAACACATTTATGAATTGCGTCCAGAAAAAAATATTGGAAAGGAAGTATACATTTTTATTCCGTTTGCTGGCTGGATTATTTGTTTGCAAGGATGTATGTAACCTATTGATTATCCAAAGAGCTTTCATCCGAACAAATGGAACTTGCTCGAAAAAAATGTAACAAATCAATCGCAAACTGTGGATGTAACAAGGTTGAGGCGCCTGTCTAAAACAAGAGTTGTCAATCCAGTCCGGCTTTCCATAACAACCAAACAAAGGGAGGCAAAACACTCTCCCCCTCTGTGTACCACACCCTGCACACAAATATGATCGGAATCACCCAGACTGGATTCGGCTCTGAGACCGAGGCAGGAAATGTGCCAATGTAAACAGAACAAAAAAAGTGGTCACGGAGCCAACCCTAACTAAATATTCCAAATCCCCCTCATTATAAACTCGGACAAAAAAACAATAAACTTTGGATCGGCCATCCAGGCCATAGCCCGCGCGATTGTTTACGTTTGGGCCGATGCGCTCGAGCTGTTTACGGGCAAAGCGACGACCCCGTGGCATTACCCGCCGCAGAGGTCACCACGAGCCCTTATCCGGCAACCGAAGGGCAGCCGCCGTACGGGCGCACGGGAGCGTGGAAGCGCACAACACAGTCGCTCTCGAGCTGTGGGATAGCGAAAATATTATCGTTGCCGCCACTAATAATAACAAAACAACAAACACACAGTCACACAGACACATGTACACTCGGGCACATGCACGCAGCGCCCACATGGCCTGCCAAGAGCCGTGTGCGTCAGCGCTAATTCAAAACAGGGCCACGTGAACTCACACGACACCGCTCCCTCGACAGGGGCGGCCGGCCAGAGTCTGACGGCAGTCACGTAGACACAGCAACGCACGCGCGTGCAAACGAAGACGCGTGCACGGGCAGCACGCGCGTGCGGGACAGGTGCAGGCCGTCGCCACAGTCAAGACCGTGACACGAGGGGCCTTAAATTAAGCACATGGTGCACACGCAGCACGTGAAGTACGGTCAAAAAACACCATCAAGGACTAGACGACACGGGGAAGCGTGCGCATGCAGCGGCGGATTAATTAAAAGGGGCTTTGCGTGCATGTGTAGATACATATTGTGGTAGTCTCACACATGCAGCATAAACATGCGCGCATTGCAGTGTTCGCACACATGCATTGCACACACACAAACGAAACGACACACGCATGCATGCAGGTACTGCGTTTGAACACACTTCAATACACGCAAGATACACTCGTGACGCACAAATAAGCATGCTGCACAAGGTCTTCATACACCGAGACACGAAGGCGTGAACAAACAAGTTCCGTACGCAAACACCAGCGATCATGTGCAGGCATACGCACACAATGTAGAGGCGGTCACAAAGCAAGCGCTGGTATCACAGATGCAGCACCAGCAATAGCCGCACAGCCACACGACACACAAAACAAGCGTACGCGCGCACACGTACACATACCACACCGCACTCTGCCGTTTTGCCAGCATACTGGACCAAAATTGGTCAAGTCACGTGCCAAAGCAATGTTGGCCGTACAGACGGAAATGTTCAGTAGGCTGGATATGGACGGTGGATATGGACGCGAGTTATAATCGTAATAATGCTCATTTACGGCCCTGTGTCATTTGCACTGCTGGATGAATGTCTCACAATGCCGTTTCGGCCACACGGGTTGTTTGACCATACTTCACCATTCTGGCTAGTGCGAATTGGTGAAGGGGAGTTGGAGAGGGGCGGGGGTGGGTGGTGTTTGGGCCCAGAATATGCTTAGCTATCGCTCGCCACTGATGTTAGCCATGGCCAAGGATTCAAACTCAGGTCGCTGCTTTGGGTCCACAGTGCAGTTCACGAACCACTCTGCCACCGTCATTGCGTATCTCCAGGCGTTCATTTAGATTTCACTCACCGCTGATGTCAGCCCTGGTCGGAGATCAAACTCGGGTTGCAGGGTTCACGCGCGCAGTGCCCCAACCCCTGACCACACAATTCCTCCCGTAAGTAGCTTTATTGCAGCACTATTGTATTGCACGGTAAAATGTATGCGGACATTAAAAATGAGGTAGCCAGTTAATATTTCGAAGATTAGATTACATATTACAGATGGCGCAAGGAGCCGCTGAGGTGGAGTTATTCACGAAAGTAAATGTTTGCCAAGGCCAAGACGATTTCTCTGTCTGGCAGCAGCATTCTCCCCACTGTGTCATGAACCACAGTCCACCTCGACCCATCATCACCGCCCTGTGCCACCTTGTACCACCCACCTCCACCCTGTGCCTCTCACCGCCACTCCCTCCCAGTCCCTCGGTAACTATCGGAGAGCCACATCGTTCAGTAGTGTCAGAGCCAGCGCCATGAGATTACTCGAGGTCAGGGTTACCAGATGGGCGGTCGGATTTTTTGCACACAGCGTTGTTGGTGCACGGTGCTTTTTTCAGGAATATTTTGCCGGGTTTTTTTAAAATGCATTTTCTGTTTGCACAGTCAACACATAGTCACTTTAAGATGTTTTTCTTGCTCATGTTTTTGCTTTTTTGTTTGTTGTGGTTGCGCCCGATTCAAGAGCCGAATGGCTCACAGGGCTATACCAAATAAATGGAACTATGAACTATTGTAAAAATTCGCTCAATCCCTGTGATCACTGTTACGTTGCAATTATGGCTTTATTTTTTTGGTGATTTCGAAAACGTTTTTTGGTTTGGACATGTTTGTTTTGTTGTAGTACGGAGTTAGACTGACGGCCTTAATCTAAGTTTTCTTGTGGTTGTTGCTGTTTGACTTGGATCCCACTGGGATTTTTTGCACACAGCGTTGGTGTACGGTGCTTTTTTCAGGAATATTTTGCTGTTTTTTTTTCATGCATTTTCTCTTTGCACAGTCAACACATAGTCACTTTAAGATGTTTTTTCTTGCTCGTGTTTTTGTTTGTTTGTTGTGGTTGCGCCGGATTCAAGAGCCGAATGGCTCACAGGGCTATACAAAAAAAATAAAAAAAACTGAAAAAATCTCCTGTTTGGGCGCTGTCAATGATGGGCGGCAGCCTGCTGTGGCACCATCCACGTCCACGGCACCGTGAAGTAAACCAATGGACATAAACCGAAAAACCAATAAACGAACAGGTCTTACCATGTAGGTGTGTGTTTAGCGAGTGAGTGTAATCATTACCCACCCATCGATAAGAAGTAACAAAAAATAACCATTCGCGTTGTCATGGAGAATATAAATAACAGAATAGACAAGCAGACAATAACATGTCTTATTTATGCATCTGTCTCTACGTAAAAAAAAAATGTAAGTAGTTTTTATACCACCCACTGGCCCCAAGGAATTCTGGAAAAGAATAATCATTCTTTTCAGCAGCATGGATTCAGTATGAGCAGATTCTGGACTGCTTTTCGACATACAGTGTCTCATCAGCAAGTCAGAGGATTGATCTCGCCAGTATCGTCAGGCCACCACCCATTGGCCCTCGGAGCCACAGCTTAAAGAGAGGCTCCTTGCCTGTATCATCTGGCAGTTCACCAGCATCGATTCAAGCTGTAATGATGCGGCCCTTCGTGAATTTAAAACAAACCACGAACCTAATGCAGAAGCGGACACTCAAAGACTCTCGCAAGTGCGACAGAGAACGCCAAACAATGGGCCACGTACTTTGTGCGATAGCAGTGGGTGGGTGGGCGAGTGGGTCAGTGAGTGGGTGAGCGGATGAGTGAGGAGGTCGGAGAGGAGTACGTGGATGGGCGAGTGGGTAGGTGGGCGGGGCAAGTGGGTAGGTGGGTGGGGTCAGTGGGTAGGTGGGGCGAGTGGGTAGGTGGGCGGGGCGAATGGGTAGGTGGGCGAGGTCAGTGGGTAGGTGGGTGGGGCGAGTGGGTAGGTGGGCAGGGCGAGTGGGGAGGTGGGGGGTCAGTGGGTAGGTGGGTGGGGTCAGTGGGTAGGTGAGTTGGGTGGGTTATTCGTCAAGTCAGCAACTCTCAGACAGGGTAATTTAACGGCTAAATCGCATACAGGAGAATCTCTAACAGTTGCCCTACGTAAGTCAAAGACAAGGAAGTAAGTTTAATGTCACTTTTCTGAATTGCAAAGATGCTACGCCCACAGCCACGGGAGTGCATCTACAAGATAAGAGCCTTGACTTAAAGCTTTCGTGATTGCAGGAATTCAAGGAAAACCGAAAGACCCAAAGAATAAGAAAAGAGCCGTTTGTTGTTTTGGGGTCATGACTTCCTGTAATCCGGCTCAGAGCAGACGGGGACCCATTCCAAAAGCACAGGTGGCAACATGACCGCAGGTGGTGCGTTTCTCAAGCCCGCATCGATTGATCAATTAAATAAAAAAACTCACACTCGTGGGGCCGTAGCCCTAAACGTCACGAGCGTGCACATGTGTGAGCGTGCGTACGTGCGCGGGCGTGTGCGCATGTGCTCGCAGGCCCGTGACAGCGTGCGTGAGCGTGTGCGAACGCACGTGCGTACGCGAGCGTATGTGAGCGTGGCTGCACGTGTATGCAAACGTGCGCGTGTACGAGACACGCGTGCCCGCGCGCGTCCACCTTCTTGGGCGGGTTGTGGCGGTTGTACTCCTCGCCCCACAGCTTGGCATCCATCTGCAGCCGCACGTCCTCGAAGTACACGTCGCGCGTCACTGGCTCCATGTAGCGCTTGACCACGTAGTTCGACGCCGCCTTCCACTGCTGGTGACGCGCGAAGTTGGACAGCTTCTTGCTGTGCATCGCAACAGCAGCGGTGAGTGAAGGGTCAGAGGTAGGCCACGTCTCAGGCCTCGGCTTGCACAGATCCCTCGCCGGCACTCTTCCTCGGTATGCATTCGCTCATCTTCCATTACAAGACATTCATTCCACCTCTCTCTGCTGCACTCTCTCATGTACTCCATCGCTCTCTCTCTCTCGCTCTCCTTCACTCCCTCAATCATGCAATTGTTGTCCTTTTTTGCTATTTTCTTCTCTCGATCACTCCCCACTCTCCCAGACACTCTCTCCTCTCTCTACTGGTCCATCTCGATCGCAGTAAGCTCTCCCCTTTTTCTCTGTACCCTTCTCCCCATGTCACAATCATGCTTGGTCGTTTCGTCTCTCAGAGTCTCCCTCCCCACCTGACTTGGATACCAAGCCGCACTTCTTAATCTGAGTCAGTCACATTCTTGGACTGCTGCAGCCTTACATCTGAAATACTTTACAAGTGAACACGAGGAGGAAGTGGGGGCCTACTCCAGTGACTCCGGTGAGACACAGCCCGTTGAACATCCACCGGTCTGTCGCCCCTGCCGGAGTCGTGGCACTACAAACGACCTGGCTATGGATACACACCAGGCCCATATCACTATGGGCCTATGATCTATCCAATGCGAGCATTCTCTGGCCTAACACCGATGAGACAATATCATAAAAGGCTGTCTCTGGTGTAGGCCAATCAGTTTCAAAGACAATGCATTATATATAATTATCAGAGTAAGTTTGTTTGCGAACGTTTTGCCACAAGTACGTGTGGTTGATGCCTTGCAACAGGTATCTCTTTGGTGTTTGAACATCTTAACACCCCTCCTCCCCCCCCCACTGTTTTATTGCCATAATGGGTAAAGCCTATTCTTGTTTTTTCTTCATCATTTTAATACTGGCAAAAAAAGGTCCCACTGTTCATTTTGAATTGTTTAGCGCTTTAGAGTGGAAGGTTAAGACGAGGCTTAGTCCAAACTCCACGGCTGACGTAAACTAAAATTAGCCTGCGCTCCCGCTCCTCGTAACCAGAGCCGTGCATTCTAAACGAGGGTAACGGTTTCCTTTTTGAACTTACGTCCGAAAGCACTCCCTCATCGCACCGCGACCAAACGGCTGTTGGGAATACGAGAGGTAAACAACAACGAGCGTGTCAGTGGACGTGACCACACAAAGCAAACAACAACAACAACTTATTTCACATTGCGTGCGTTTGCGTAACACAGGCGGAGTGCTGGTGCAGTGGTGAGCACATTCACTGTTCTTCCCTGACCACCCCAGTCATCCGAGTTTTGATTTCCAGACACGGCAACACATCAGCGGCGAGTCAAAGCCGAACCGGTCCTTTGCTTCTTTGCTTAAATGAACCCACAGTGACCAGCGTGGTGAAGTATGGTGAAATAAACCTCCACCCCCCACATCTGACGTGGCGTGGGAAGGCCTTCACCCAGCAGGGGGATTGTTGACTAGTTACTTATTACTTATTCTATCTACTTTTATAATCGGGCGCCACTGTGGAGAGATATTATCTCCTTCGCCTGGTGTGCAGGAGGCCATGGGTTGGATCCTAGACCCTGACGATGCCTGTTGTAAATTTGGAGTTCTCGTGATCCCTCTCTCTATGGTGGTCGTGTCGGATGTTTTTATCTGGGTACCTCTGGTATTGCCCTCCATATTAAGAAAACTGCGTTCAGATTATTTGGCTGCGACTATAAATTCCCACGCGTGATGATGATGATATAAGCCACTTCGACGAGCTATCATCATGGCCATGTCGCCTCTGAAAAATTGCTGACAGCGCAATGGGGTCTACCTGGTAAATAAAATAGTAAAGAGCAAAAATTCAGTAGTAGAGAGCAAAAAAATGATGTGCAAATAGTTTCGGAACCCATGGTGTGCCAAGACACAAGAATAGTGCAAAGCAAAAGAAGAAAAACAACATTTGTTTAAAAAATCTAAATAAACGTGCACCTGCTTTGCCATTTTCATGAAAACTTCATCCTCCACCCACTTTGACGTCAGCGCGTTGTACCTGTGTTTCACGCCACGCACACAAACACACGGTCACGACGGCTCCGATCGTGCGGAATTAACTTTTAATTCACCTCTTTCGTTTATTCTCCCAGGCCGCCTCTCGATGCCATTTTAAGTTCAATTTGTGGGCCCCCTCGCCCCCCCCCCCCCCCCGGGAACCTCGCGGAACGAGTTTGTTTAAGTTTGTTATTCTCTAACCTTAACTGTTTTAATTGCAGGTGCAAGGTGAGCCCAACAAGGGCACCGCCCCACCTGAATCGCGTTGCCACCTCCGTCTCAATCTCCTCCAGGTGGAACTCAGCCCAGGGGTCCGGCATGTGCTTGGCCTTCTCCACAGCATGCCGCCATGCCTCCTGCACCGCCACACCACCACCACCAATATCATCATCACCAACAACATCAGGAACAACATCACCAACAACAACAACACCACCTTCATCCCTATGTCTACACTACCTTCTCCATTAGCAGTCATCACAACAAACCACCATTATCAAAACCATCACCGCTAGACTCAACACCACCACAAAACAACACCACCACCGTCATCGCCATCATCACCAAATTCATCATTTCCAACAGCATCACTGTCATCATCACCACCCACTGCAACCGCCACCACTACCACCACCAGTCGCAGTGCTAACCCGCCGCTTGAACTGCACTCGTGAATTAGTTGCACAAAAACCCATTTAGACCGCGATGAGCAAGTGGGATCATGGACCCGTCGATGCAGAGCCCATGGCAATCACGCTATGCCAGCCTACGGCTGAGGACCCTAATAGGTATCAAATAAACAAGATTTGAGCTAATCGAGGACATGCCCGCAAACTAACTGTTAGCAAGCGAACGTAAACACGGCAGGTCCCGCGTGCTCGAGTGTGCAGTTCCTCGTGCGCTGCGCTACAATCCTGGTGACCCGAACTCAATTATTCGGTGAACATAATCAGTAAAAATATTTCAACTGGTCAGGCCTTCCCCTAGGTTGGACTTCAGCAGTCAATGAGCGCCCAGGTGTGTAAACATCGGCCGGGCAAGCGTGGTGCTGGCCCACAACGTCCCCTCATGGCATACGCCAGCCTCCATCATCGCTGCCTGTGTGAACAGCGTTTGGCCTGACAGCCTGTGTAGCCTACACGGGGGAACTTTGTCCTCAGGCCAACCCAACACCGACCAATCCTCAGCCCCAGCAGGCACCGGTAGAGGCACAGTGTGTTTTTATCGCAGTCAGCAGCGCGTGTGGGGAGTTACGCACACAGACCTCAACGCTTCTACAAACACGGCCCACCCAGCAAGCCTGGCAGGCAGCACCCTTCCGTGTACATATATGTTTAAATTAAGAGCAAAAGTGGAAAAGCCAGTTGCACAAATGAGCCGCATTTTAAATATATACAGTACTAGCTTTCCTACCCGGCTTCGCCCGGGACTTGGATTCACCACGCCCGGCCGCCTTTGTCTCCACAGTGGCGATGTTCAGACACCACACCAGTTACTCGTTTGAGGCTGAGTCGACCTAGGGGAGGCCCAGGACCGGTTCAAATAATCGTGACTGGTGGTGGCCGTGAGTGGGAATCGAACTCGGGTTGTCGGGTTTGTAGCGCAGTGCGCTAACCACTACACTACAATGCGTTACGCTTCCACATGCGTGGGTCACGTGACATATTTTACGTCACAGCTCACTTGCCGTGCAAAAAAAATATGCATTATTGAGCTCCCCCCCCTTCAAAAAAAAAAACAAAAGTGTATTTTTATAATTTTCGCATGGTGTACAGTCTGGAAAGTACCCGCATTGCAAATTTGCAGTTTGTTGCATGTCGGGAAGCACGCTAAACATTTTGAACAGACACACACATTCACAAGTTTGCCTTTTATATATATATGGAGATGAACCGTACTGATTGGGTGGCTCCCGCAGCCCTGAACTCGAGACTGAAAATACTTACGACCTGCTCAAGTCATCATATCCCATGCTCGGGAGTCTCAACGTTTGGGCTGGGTTCCCGAACTTTCCGATGAACACGAAAAAAAACGGGGGCCAGGTATGAAGTCTCGAATACATTTGGATCGATCCGAATTTATCTGAACACGTGAAGTCACCCGAAGTAACATCACTTCACTTTAGGTCCTATTCAGTTGTCAGGTCAATTTTATATCTCGAGATCAGAGCACCAGCGTTATGTTCACGCTGTACGAGCTTCAGCCGGAGTCACGGTTCCAGCTTAACCAGGTGCGGACTCGCGAGGCGAGGGACGCCGCGTCTCATCTCATCTCATTTGCATGGGCGGTGGCGAGACCCACATGTGCGGGCAAGTTTGGGAGGGTAGGACGGAAGGCTCACGGGGGGGAGGCAATGGAATGTTTCACGCGGATGGCAAAGCCCTGAGGATGTTGCTGACCGTGACTCCCAGTGACGTCCACCATCGCACCTCACGGCGTCCGTGAGCGCAGATTGGGATTTTATTATTTTTTCTCTAAAAAAATCAAGATTCCATAAGAGGTGGCCGGGGTGGCTCAGAGGTCTGAGCACGGAGCTGGTTGATGGCTTCGGCCCGGTCACACATCAGAATAGTGAATTACAATGGAGGAATCCGATGAGCCATAAAGCTCTTTTTCACAGAAATTACTGCACGTGAAAAAAAATCCATCGTATTAAAATGTGGGTATTCAATTAATGTCGTAAATAATCGAGTGCCTGACAATTTAGAAACAAAAAAATATTGATGTGATTTTGCGATGCCAATGAACCTCTCTAAATACAGCAACCCTTAGTGTGCGGCGACAAGAGGTCAGCTGAGATTTCAGAATTAGTTCTGTCATATCTCCTTCTGTGGACCGTTCTTTACCAAGTGGTGGTGCACTGTTTTGCAAGAGTGCCCCGTGGATTCGTCATTTTATGACGCGACTCCAATGGCGCAATTCTGAACGAAACGGACAAGAGAGACTCAAATATTTTCCAACTGCTTCTACCGAGGAGGCCGGTTAAGTGTTTTGCAACTCTAGCCATTGTGCGGTATCGTGCTTTCATGGCTCGGCGGGGGTCACGGTGAACAGCAGCCCCCCAGAAAAGCTCATGAATCACAGCCATTCCTACATGACGATCGAACCGTCTTACTCCCTTTTTCCCACTGCCACATCCGAGCCACACCAGCGCCGGGGGGGGGAGGGGGCCTGACGATACGAATTGGTTTTCCCACTGGCTATTTGCCGAGCTGAGCTAGAACCGAACCGTGAAATTCTGGCCTCGCGAGACATCTCAATTTGGCTTGGAGTGGGGGGGGCCAAGCAGGGCCAGAGGGCGGCGTTATTTTGTCTGCTGTAGGTAACGACTCGACTCGCCGCGTGCACAGTGAGCGGCATGGCTCGCGTTCGGCAGTGGGGGAACGAAGGGGGGGAAAAACAAAACCCTGGCTCCGACTGAACCCTTTGTCGGGGCTGGCTCGGCACGGCTCCGGCGTGGCTCGGTTGTAACAGTGACAAAAAAACGTATTGGTGAACGGAAAGCAAACCCGAAGCAACAACGATCTAAAGAAAAAGACGCCGCTCAAAAAAAAAAGCTCACAGCTATTATATGTTCAAGAGAACTACCCACCCCGTGCAGTTTGCCTACGCTGTCTTACACGTGCTCGAAGCTTCGTTAATGGAAAAAAAATAATAATATAAAGTTATTCTCGAACATTTAATTACAGCACCTCCGAGTGATGTCACCTGCGGTCGCACAGCCGTACATCTCAAAGGGGCGAGTGCAGCGACATCACGAGAGCACGCTGCTCTGACTTCAGCATCTGTTTTGTTTCGCGCATTCACAGAGTACGTAGACTCATGTCGTACGGTCGCAAAGACACGCCGCCGTCCATCTAAACGCACAGCGTCTACAAGAAAAGAAAGAAACGCATCTCAAGGAGACGAGAGCTGTTTGTGTGTTTTTTTATGAGCGACGTCTTTCCTTCACGGGGAGGGTGACCGGGAGTGAGTTTTGATTAGAAGATAACGAACATACCCGGCCCTGCTGCAAACCAGATTTTCTCATGCCATCCTTGACACGCCAGGCAAGACACGGGGTGCGCCCCCACGCACAAGCAGCATTCAGGCGACACACGCAAAATCGGGCAAGACATAAACACACAAAACAAAAAAATTAGCCAGACGCTGGGGAAAGGAACGAGGCGATGAAGCAAGGGAGGCTGGGAAGGGGGTCGAGGGCGAGGGCAGGAGGGGCGGGGGCAAGGATGCGGGTGGCGGTGATGCCGCAGCACGGTTTGCCGCACGTTGCAGAGGTTTGCTGTTCAAGATCCACGGCCGTGCTGGTGAACACCTCCGGGAGCATTAACAATCAATAAAACACTTCGTCTGCTGCATGGTGGTCATCAAAGATTGAGTGAAGTCAATTTTTTTTCAAAGCAGTACACGTCACGCGTTTTCCTGCGTCACGGTCAAAGTTTTGCGCGAGTTAACAAACAAAAATTGTCGTGACCTGCAATGTGGCGGTTGAACACACTGTGGATGAGGTGGAACAAGTCAGTATGGTAAGCCGAATCGTCAACGCGGGTGGAGGAATTATTGAGGGTCACGGGAAGAGTAACCATGGTTATAGCAATAGAAGAGTACACAAGGAGGCGACTGACCGCTGGGTGAGTGAGCGAGTGACTGGAGTGAATCAGCGAGTGGCTGGATCATCAATCAGCCCCGACCAATTTAAGCGACTTAACGTGATGGACCCCTTTTGGGTGGCAAATTTGTGACATGTGGGCACCACGCATCGAAGCAAAAATAAAATTTACTTGGCTTCTATCGAGACGAGTGAGACAGGAACTGGGGGGCTCCACCCCACGTACACATCGCGACAGCTTACTCCGACCATAGCCGGCTTCGTTCGTGGCGCAGGCTGCTAACCACGGGGGACCACCGCCCCACCCAACGCGAATCTATATCGTGTTCAAATCAAACGCTTCCTTCGATTCATTGAAACAAAATAAAACTTAAAAAAAAAACTCCCATGGGAACAGAGACGCAAACCTCGTTGAGGAAGGAATTCCTGGGCCCCTCGGTAATCCACTTGGCTGCGGCTGCCACTCAAAGGCAGCAAGGTTTCCAGAGTGATTGTTTTTTGTTGTTGTTGTTGTTGCGTTGTTAACACACAATCTCATTTGATTAACTGCGGCTTTGGCAGGGACGGTTGAACAGCTCGACGGCTGGACGCTCGGCGGGGCCGGATTGTGTTGCGGATATTAATAACGGTTATTTTTTTGTTATTTAAGGGAACGAAAATCTAAATATATATTCTCGTTTAAACAAAAAAAAACCACCATTGCAAAATGCGTGATAGCACATATATCGACAGATTGGGTCATTTTGAAAACAACAACAAAGTCGCCCTCGAAGAGGAGCCGTGCTGGTCAACGGGTTTTACTCGGGGAAATAAACGCAAAAGCAGTAAAGTCACAAAGTGCAGGAGGAGCGGAGATTTTTTTTATGAATGTAATAACTAAGCGCCTGTTACAAATTTACCCGTAATGCACCCGATTCTCGTCAGGTCACGGGAGCCAAAAAAGAGTTGAGCTTGGAAAGTGTGTGGATGGGCGACCGCACACCGTGCGAAAAAAGACCGGTGCAGTGATAGGCGGAGCGGGAAGCAGTGCGGCAAATCGACTGTTGCTCTGCACCCATCTTCACCAACCCACACTGACCAGCGTGGCGAAGTATGGTCAAATATTCCTCACGGCCCGCAAGGCATGAGTAGGCGGCCCCCTCATCCGGCAGTGGACTGACAAAGCGGATCGTACGTGTACACGAACGACAGATCAGCACGGCTGACGGACCGAATGCGCGACTGCTTTCCGTGTGTCGCCAACTGTCTTGGCGGAAAAAAGCGATTGCCTCATGCACTCAAGAGATTAAACGATGCGGCTGCTGCAAACGCTACTCTTCCCAGCTGTAAATGTGGCCGTCGCAGCTGTGTGGACGTCCGCGCACGCGGCCGTATAACGGACGCGTCTTGTTGCAACAGATCGCTGCCCCGGGGGTTTGAACCCGGCAACCTCGGCCGTGTGTGCCTCGGTGTGCAACAACTAATCGATTCCGCAATTCCAACGATTTGTTGTTACCATTATGATTCGCTTCATTTATTTTGGTGGCGTGGTGGCAGAGTGGTTAGCACACCGCTCTAACTAGACGCCAACAAAATGAGTTTTATTCCCGGTGAATGACATCATCAGTGGTGGGTGACCAAACATCAGCGGCGAGCGATGTCTGAACCGGTCCTAAATCAACCGAGCTCAGCCCTAATGGCACAGGCATGAGGATGGGGGGGGGGGGTGGGGGGGGAGGCCTTCACACAGAAGTGGACTGACAAACGGTTGCCCTGCGTCGTGCCATCGCCCCGCGTTGGCGACGAGCCGCGCGTGGACTCACCCGCACGCGGGGGGAGACCTTGGGCCGGGGGGAGTTGGCGGCCGGGCCAGTGGAGACCTGGGCCGGCGGCTTCACGTGCTGCGGGGAGCTCTTGTCCAGGACCTGGATCTCCGTGATCGGGCAAATCCTGCGGGGGGGTCACGTCGGGAGGGGTGGGCGATGGGAGTAACTGATTTGACGCGGTCTCGCATATGGCAGCGGGTATTTTGGATCATCACTGCGCGGGCACAAACTAGTATTCTTCATAAGATTTAATAACAATGCATTTTACGAAGCGCCGTTCCCCATAGCAGCTGAATTTCACATCAACTGCGGTGGCTCGCTTCGCCACAGACGATAACAGGGGTTGCGTTCATCTCGCCTTGCTCAAAACGGAAAAAAATGAGACTCCAGGAGGGTTTTGAAACGTTGATATCTCGTCGCACGAGCGGACTCACCGTAAGTGCGCGGACTCAACGGAAGTGCGCAGACTCACCGGAAGTACTCGTCCCCATCTTCGTCGTCGCTCTCCCCGGCGGGTTTCTGCGGCGGGCGATCGCGCGGCTTCCTCAGCGAGCCCTCCTTCTCGTCAAAGTGGAAGATGAGCTCCTCGTCACACATCTTCGCTCGAGTTTACAGGGTCTTCGCGAGCAGCAAGGGCCTGTGCCGTCGTGAGGGCACGGGGGTTGGGGCGAGGTGACGAGTCCGTCGATTAAAATTCACTCTCACGTTTATGACGCACGCATCGAGTGGTGCACGTGGGAGGGGGTGGGGGGGGGGGGGCGAGTCCGCAGCCGGCCGTCAGTTGCACGAACAAATCTCTCTGCAAATTTGCGCAACCTAATTGGCTGTTTACGTGCACCCAGAGACGTCCACATAGGAGCGATTCAGCTGCATGCAACTAGTCGGTCAGCTGCGGACGGACCCGGCTTCAGAATGGACTGCACGATTTATCTGAAATGTACGCCAAGAATATGCACGTTACCTGTAGGCTAACGGAACGCAACATACGGGACAGACAATGCACGCGAGCCGATATATGTGGGACAGACAATACCAACGAGGCGGAACATACCAGACAATATGAACGAGACTATAAATAAACAATTATTAAAATCAAATCGTGATGATTCATTGAATCACTGTGAAGAAAGAGGTAGTGGGGTGGAACCATTACATTCCAAACACCCACACCACACCCCCCTCCCCCCAATGCTCTTTGTGGGACCCCCCTCCCTAACGGTGAACTGTCCAATCAATTAAGGGTCGTCTGAAGAGTCGACGTCAAGTGGAGCAGTCACCGACAACAGCAGACAGCTGCAACTACGACGGACAGCGCAACATGGCCAAAGGTCGGCGACATCACCATATTCTCCGCACCTTCTTCTCCGTCCATTTTAAAACACAAGTTTCGGATGCATCTTGGAATCCGGAAAAAGACAACGTTTTCCTCTGAAAAAGAGATGCGTTCAAATACAGTTGTTCGGAAAGCAACTTCCAGAAGACCGCTCTCCAAAGCAAATACACAATCACCCAGACACAACAGGAGAAACCACCGGCCATTCAAAATACATCCTCCGATAGACACATCTCTCTCTCTCTCTCTCAACCCATTTTGCTCTGGAAGTTGGCTCTCCGTAGGGCCGTATTCTCCACGGCGATTATAAAACTAACTTCATTCAAAACGACCGCCCAAGAACATTAAGTTTCGAGGTGTGTCTTACATTTCCGGAGCGTCTTCTAATCTGAACAATACGGTAAATACTCAACACACTCATCAAGTGCATGTGCCGTACGGTGCCGAGCGCCGGGCGTTTTTATATCTGGGCGTGCGCCGCGCCACCCTGCACCACGCACCTGTGCACGCCGCGCCCCCTTGACCGCTCGTGCCCTCCACGGCGAGAGATCGGCTCAACGGAGCTCGGCGTAGAAACTGGAGTGCAGCTCAAAACCTCCCGATGAGTCTCACGGCGCTAGCGAGTTAGACTCCGACGCGTCGTCGGAGTCTAACTGTCGATGGCAGCCCAAGGCACTTTTGCGGAGCCCGGCGTTGATGAATGGTGCGCTGGCTGGGTCGTTCGGTATTTGGCTTGGAGGGACGTTTAAAAAGACTCTCCCCCCCTCCCGTCTATTTTTGCCAGCGCTGAAATGCCAACGTGGCAAGTTTGTGGGGGGGGAAAATAAATAAATATTGCGAGCTCCACGGCCGCTTCCAGTCGGGTGAACTCCGAGGCGACGTTGGCACGGGCCAAGTTCCACCGAAAGAGTCGACTAAATATAGCCGCTCGCTGAGCGGCGGGCAAGGGCTCACCGCGACTGCCATCGCCGCGCTCCTCCACCGACAGCCGGGGATTGCCTGCGCGGTCATCGGTGATCATCGTCGTCATTAGACGTGTCACGGGAATTTTCGATGGGATGAAATTTTAATCCCTCGCCACAGCGATTCCAGTCATCGTCAGGACTCATTCGAGGGCTGCGATTCAATTCGAGGACCGAGCATGTTTTTTGCCTCCTTGTTATCATCTCGTTTGTATCGTCTGTTGTTCGTATCAGCTCGATTTTGGCAATTTTGTTCGCTCCATTCGCCTGAATGGTCACATCAGCAACATCCGCGTATCAAATGCATGGAGCATAAATAACAGTTTCTCGCATGTATAATACGATGCATGTATCAAGAGTGCAAGAATCAATTTCAATTGACGGATCGATGCAACGCAACGTGCCTGATCATTATCGATAAGGCACCGGAGATTGCTTTGAAACCGCCAACGTGCCCAGCTTCAGAGTGAGCAGTGGTGGTAAACATGTTTGTCCTGTTGGCAGCAAACTGCTAAATCATCACTTACAAGTGTGCTCCTGCAAAAGAGGTGTATTTTTGCACGCAAACAGTAAAGACGAATCTAAAAAGGTGACGATGAGAGTGGGGTGTGTTTCCGTGCAAGCTCGGCCTTATCTTAGCAGAGGTGCAGAACACGCACTGCAAATCATAGAACTGGACCCCTCCCCAAAGACAAGGATTCCCCCATATAGCACTGTTAGGGGCAAGGACCACTCTCAGCCAACTTTGTCTCCCCAATAGCGATATTTATGCACCGCACCGGGTATTAATTTAAGGCCGAAGCAACCTAGCGGAGGACCAGGACCGGTGAGCGGGAATCAAACTCGGGTCGCCGGTTTCGTAGCGCAGCGCGCTAACCGCGACACTACCGCTCCCACGCACACAGTGGTACACCAACACAGACGTACTGACACACAAGAGGTACACATGGACATACTGACACAGCCACATAGACAGATACAGCAGAGACACGTGCGTGTATACGTACACAGACATACTGAAAGACACGAGCACACATTGACAAATACAAACTTGTGCGACCAGACACACAAGCAACACGCACCCTGTGCATCAATAACAACAGCTGCCATTCGCTGCCAAGTGACAAGAGATGTCACCAGGGCACTCGTGCCAGACTAGGTGCACTTGGAAGCCATGTGAAGGTCAGGCCAATCTACACAAACACCAAAGAGCACCCATATAGCCATTACCGCACTGTTGTGGCAAGTGCTGTTCGTGGGCACCTATTTTAAGGTCAACACGGAAAACTACTAGACATGGCCAGAACCACGCACAATTGTCTTGACGCACGATACCAGGTGCAGTTCTCATGTGAGACTGCGTCGGCATAGATAGATTCCAGGTAAACTAATGTTTACTTGGAATCAAACTCATACAGCCAGGTTCAGTAGCTCAACCACACACACAGACAAATCCCGCAGACAACTCAAACATAATACATACATAATAAAGGTTTTTGGGTTAGATCGCGTTATATATAAATGGGTCGTAACCCTCCACCACCCGACACGGCCAATCAGCAAAACAAGTGTCACGTTGACAAAAGACAAATAGTTCACTACTTTAGCCCACCGGTGTGTTGAAGAGTGAATCTACAGCATTTACAGTTTGAGTACGACGTTTCGCTGGTAATTACATCCAGCATCATCGGGCAATTCGCCAGAATGGTAAAGCCCTCACTTGCTCCCGGTCTTAAATAGAGCAGCAGCAGGGTGACGTCATCATTGAACTCATTTCAGGTGCAGTGATTTGAGGCGGAGGGGGGTATTGTAATTATATAATCGATTAGTAATCAGTCAATGGTTATGATTAGTAATGAGTTGTAGATTAGTAATTAGTTGTAATGTGTGTTAGTGATTATATGCTATGTTAGTAATCCGTTAATTAGTATGTGTTTCCCCTATAAGGAATTGTAATGTGTATTATTTAATAATACACATTATTATGAATAATATTGGTCGCAAAAGTGTACGTGTTAAACTGATAATACATACACACACACATACGAATTGCTTGAACAGTAAAATTGTAAACGTAATTTCAGTTTACAATGCAATTGACCCCAGGTCTGCACCACACACACACATATAACACACATCCCACACGCTGCGCTGTGCACGCTCACACGCTACCCACACACACCACGCCCAAACACACCACACACAGCCACCTGTTGGGGCAGAGAAAGGCCTCACGAATACCCTTGATCGATCGAGGTCCCAGCAGCAGCAGCAGCAGCGTCTTAACCCTTAGAGACACACGTCTACAAGTTGTGGCTCAGGTCCAATTACAACTGCTCATGAGCAGCTGCGTGCTCCTAGGGGTCACCGCTCGGCCAGTTGCCACGGGTGGCGAGATGGTAACTACTTCGCCTGGTATACACAGAAGAAGGTCGTGGGTTCAATCCCGTTCCTGACGCCCGCGGTATATTTGGAGTTTGCACGTTCTCCCCGTGGTGGTCGCGTAGATTTTTCTCCACGTTCCTCCGTTTGCAACTTATAAAAGATAGGTGTGTGTGTACAGTATGTGTGTGTGACCTCATTTGTAACTTTATCGACGCCGGGTAGAAGTATGACGACAACAATTATATTTTAATTCATAAAGCGCCCTTAAACAATCGTTCTCAGGGCGTCTGACTTCGTTGGGCCCTCTTAAGCTCGGCAACAATTTAATTGACGGTTGCCGAGCGCGCGGCCACGGGCCCAGGACGCGAGATTGACGAGCAAATCGGCAGCACCATTAAAGCTGTAATAAGACTGAACGTGTGTGTGTGTGCGTTTTTTTAATCGAGCAAGGCTATATGACCTAGGCAAAGAGCCGAAGGGAGGGAGACATTTAAATGCCGAGCAGTGCCGAGCGCTGAAGCAGGAAGAGCAAAAACGAGGAGGCGACGCGTTTATCGCGGATCGCCACCCAAGGTAGACCAGAGTAACACATGATGAAGTGAGTAGGCGTGCCGAGAGCAGGTTGGAGTGCTTTGGTAAAGCTTAACTTAAAAAGGAACGCACCAATCTGCTTTAAAGAGTCACATTTTCCATCAGCCCACGCCAACTGTTATGACATATGCTTCTGCGATAAAAAAATTTCAACTTGCAACGCGTACACCATTCCGTTCACTCACTCTCGTTCGGAGAGAATCACTCAAGAGGCCCGAGAGTAACCACAGACAAGCTGAAAGGCAGCCACACAAATGAGCCAGCACCAACGACTGGCTAAGCCCCGCGGTCCTCAATACATTAAGGCGTTACCGGCCAATGAATGCGTGTTTATGCACGTGTGGAGGAAAGTGGAGCACCAGGAGAAACCACGCGTGGGGGAAACGCTCTATCCCATAGACAGAACAGGTGGAGTGTCCCGCATCTTTGCTGTACTGCCCTCTCCTACTAAACCAATGGAACACACCGACAACCGCCTGAACAGAGACGCACGCTTGGAATGAACACACGCATTGGGGAAAAGAGGACATGCAAACCGCAAAACGCAGATTAACGACACGACTCAAACGGTTGATGAAATTTAAACTTCTTGGGCAGGGACACTTCATTCTGAGGGATGATGTCTGACGATTAAGAATTGTGACGGGCGTTGCAACCAAGGAAAGAAACGGGTCCACGAGAAACTTCCACGGAGGAGACGGGAGTGATGAAAATCCGCTCTTGTCGATTGTTACATCGCAAGCGATGGCTGCTTGGGGAGGCCTTCATCCAGCAGTGGATTTCCCATGCCTGATGATGTTGTTGTTGCCATTATTATTTTGAGTTATTACACAATTGCGTTGCTATATTGTGAGATGTGTTACAGCTGCTATTCACCCATTTGTCTTCTTGCATTATACATTATTAGGCGCGTTAGCTTTTGAGATGTGTTCACGCAATTACTTGCCAGAGGCGCTATTCCAGCATTAGATTACTTGATGTGTAATTATGTTATGGTTACAATTGCCATACAGTTCGAAACGCACGTTAAAGCCCAGTGGCGTCACTCTTCAACACTGCAGTCAGAACGTCAAGAGTCTTGCTCAGATGAGCATTGATGTGGCGCTAATCTCCTGTTTACCGCCGCGAGATGGAAACTCCACATTCCTATAGTAGGGGCGAGCCTCTCCAAAGGACAACCAGTGTTGACCTCCCCACAAAGTGGCCAGGAGATGTTAACTACCTCGCCCGGTATACAGGAGGTCGTGGGTTAGATCCCGACCCTGACGCCTGCTGCTGTATATTTGGAGTTTGCGTGTCTCTCTCTCATCATCATCACGGTGGCTAGATGTTAACTACCTCGCCCGGTATACAGGAGGTCGTGGGTTCCATCCCGTGCATGTTCTCCTAGGGGATGCGTGGATTTTTCTCCGGGTCCTCCGGTGATTCCCTCCACATTTGGCTGCTGTAAATGTCCACGTGACAAGCCACTTCGCTGGGCTCTCATTTGTGGCCAGGTCGCTTCTGAAAAAGAGCTACGTAGCTCAGTGGGCCTTACCGGGTAAAATAACAAAAAAACTGTTTTTAATAGTTTATAGAGTCAGTTCATGCCAAGTGCTGGTCATTGCAACCTCTTAAGCCTCCAATGACGCAGGCGACGCTATGAATGATTTGAAATACTGTCCAATACATTTACAATACAATCAATATGGTCGTAAACGCTTACACGTTGCGCTAAAACATCCACAACACTGTGGAGCCGAAGGATTACACAGCACTTTAGATCTGCACCACCAGATCATTTTATGCCACTTTAACAACAAACGCAACGCATTCGCCCGCAGCACTGTCTAAACAGGAAAACGCATGTAACAGGCAACGTTTCGGGCAATGGGTCTTTTTTTATATAGAACATGCCACAATAAATGATCTAGATGCACACCAATTGGTTGTATTAACACAAACACACGGCTTATCATCCTCCTCCCCCCACCCACACCTCCGATTAGCACGGATACGTACGGTGCGAAAGAAGATAAACAAACGGTACATCCAAAATAGCGGCGAAGCACCCATAATGTTTGTTTTTCTCGCATGCCATGTGACTACAGCATTGCTCGCATGAAGAAAAAATTATAATAGGTTTTACCCTTTCTGGCAATAAAACATTTGTGTTAAGATGTTCAAACAACAATTAAACCTTTTGCAAGGAATCAAGTAATGCATTAGGGGCCGTCCATAAATGACGTCACGAACCTGGGGGGTTTGAGAAACGTGACGTCACATCAAAATGCGCAACTTTAAATAAATATAGCCAACACGTTCTACTTGATTAAATAGACTTCTTGATAAATGTTTTCTCCTACAACATCAGAGTGCAGCGCCACATTAAATACGCACTACAATGACAATAGTTTAAAGCGATTTGAAGCATTTATTATATTTTTTTGGGGGGGGGAAGAGGGGCAGTGCTTTGTGACGTCATATTTGAGGGGGGGTAAAACAAATCGTCCAAAATCGCGTGACGTCATTTATGGACGGCCCCATAGCGAAGCTCATCAACTGCACACCGGCTGGCTAATTAAAACTGCTCCTGTAAAACAAAAAAAACACCACAAAGTTTATTGTTTGCGTAATCTACCGCGGAGCGAAATCTTCCCCGCAGGCTCTGACCATACTTCACCACGCCGGTCACCGCGGGGGGCGGGCGGGGGGGAGGGAAGCTGACGGTTAATTCGCTAATTAAAAGCCAATTAATCGCACGCGTCACCTTAATTTGCACGCGTCAATCTTGAATCTACGACGCAGCGAATCCTCTGGACTACGAAGGCCATCGACCATACTTCACCCCTCAGGTCACACCGAGACGGGGTGGCGGAGAGAGAGGGGGGTGGGAAGAATGCGAGCGGTGACGAGGGGGTGCGAAGCTTAAATGATAACAATTAGCCACCAATTAGCTGTGGCTAATAAACGTTTCACCTTAAGTGCTCGGGGCCCCGCGGAGTCGCCGTTCCATCCGACGGGAGTCGGCGGCCTCTTCCCCGCCAGCCAAGCGCCTCACAAAAAGTGCAAACGAAATCTTGACGATATTTTTTTTTACTCCGGATCGCGCGGTGCATTCGCGATTTCGACGAGGAATTGATCTGTAAGTAACTGTCAATGCATATATAAAATAAAAATTGTTTTTTTAAAGGATTAATTTTTTTTATAGTTTTAAAGCGCCAGCAAACCGTCAAAAGGAGGGGGAGGCTTGAGACGGAGGTCGCGGAAGCCTCCACCGCGCATGCGCGTAAAAGCTGGCGGTGACGTCACAGGGGATGTGGCGGGGGCCGCGAGCGGGTTGTTTTGGTGGTGACGTCACAAGCCACCCCCTCCCCACACACACCGACCCACGTGACCCCCTGTGAATGCCACGCAACGTGG